CCAACTTCACTGAGGTCACACAAAAAAAAAAAAAAAAAAAAAAAAAAAAAAAACTATTCTCCAGATGATGGCCAGAGCTTATGATTTCAGAGGTGTGTTTCAACCTTTTTTGATGAAAATGAAAATCATACCACAAAAAATTTGGACATTAGGTGTGAACTGGAATTATATTCTTCCATTAGGAATAAATAAGGATTGGATATGCTGCCAAGCTGAATTAAATGTACTCGAGGATACTTCTCTTATAAGAAAATATTTTGACAGTTGTGGGGGAGAAAAAAAATCGCTGCAGAGGGTTCATTAGCTTTACTAAAGACTATGCTTAGTTTGGAATTGATGGCTGCTTTAGCAGCTGTCAAATTTCCGTAAGTATTAAACAAATTTGTTTCCTGAACTATACCATCAAATATTTCTTTGGAGTCATTGCTAAATAGCTATCTCCTGAATAAAGGTATTTGTCACGAACTGGAAGCTCTTTACGTCAGAGTTTCTGATATTTAGTCACTCGCTGATACTGAATAGCAATTTCACTGCAGTTCGGGGGGGGGGGGAAGAAAAATCCTGCTGATGTTTTAGCTCACGCAAATGTGCCTTTAACCTTGTGAGAAAGTTCTGTTTGGTTACAAGTACCTAGCTGGCTCTCTCAACCTGAAAGTGTTGGGCCAGTTAAATCCACAGACAGATATAAACAATGAGAACATTCAGAATGAAGCAAAGGAGCAAACACACCTTCTCGTAGAAACTTCAGCATTACTATGTTTAACCCAATCCAGTAGGCTGTTAAAAGTATCTTGGATAACAGCTTATGTTATGAGGTGTACAAACAATAGTAAATGAAGGTCAGTGAAATTCACAGATCCACTAAGCTCTGTTGAGATTTTGAGAGCTCAGCTCTATTTGGTAAAAGTTACACAACAAAAACACTTTGTGGAAGAGATTCTAAACCTTTCAAGTGGAAAGCTCCTAGATTACACTTAAATCTACACTTAATTCGCTTAACCCAGAACTGGATACACACTATCTTCTGCACTTAAAAGGCAGACTTCAATTCTCTTATCTTGATTTCGGTGAAAAACATCCATGGCTGTTATTTTAGAAAGATAAATATAGTAAATTAGTGATCTTAAGAGTCTTATACTAAACTATTTTATGCTGCAGTTAGCCCAAATTAGACCAAAGTTTTGGATCATAAAAGAATGTGAATTCATTAAATTCAAGTTAAATAAGTGTTTTTTATGTAAACGGTATTAGGTACCTGCCAAAAGAATTGTACACAAGAAATCGTTCCTTTACCACCTGATAGTGTTCTGCAGTAACCTTTTTTTTTTTTTTAACAGGACTTGATTATGTTAGCCCCTTTTTCACAAAGAACAGCAAGGATAAACATTATCTGCTCTTGTTTACTTATGTTACTACTCGAGCATACAGTTAGAACTTGTTCCTTCTATGAGTGTGGAGAACTTTATCCTTGCATTTTTCAGATATATTTCTTATCATAGATTCTGCTCAATCATATACTCGGACCATGTCAAGACATTCAACTGTGCTGATCTTGAGCTGCAAAAAATCTGGAAGTGAGTTCAATAGCCATCTGTACATAATTTGTTTTCCTCACATGGTAACATGCAAATACATTGTTTAAAAAGGACCATGGTGGGGAAAGTTCTGGGAAAGGCATTTTAGAATGATCAAAACTTGTTGATAAGAAAAACAGTTGGGTATTCTGTCTCTTTCTGAATGAGCTAGAAACAGTTTTCGTTGAAATCAAAGCTATAATTAATTCAAGGCCAATAACAAACATCTAGAATCAGACTTTAGAGACCTCATCTATAACTCCTGCTCATTTATTAATTGGTAAATGATCACTTTCCCTTCCAGTTACAAGAGTATCCAGAAAGGACCTGAATGGGTCTAGACATTCCTTGACCATAAGGTATAAACATCAACAAACCTTGTTAAATAACTTTTGTATCATTGGAAGAAGTATTACTTGCTTTCTTTAAGCTCTATGAATTTATGTCCACCTACTTAAGTGTCTGATCAGTTTAAAGTTGATGATGTTGTCCTTATATATGATGATCATTTCCCTAGGAATTTGTGGGCAATTGTTAAAATAATAGAAACTTAACCTGGCAGAGATAGTCAGGTTCAAACAGACCAGTACAATTGCTGTATAACCTTGAAGTTTATACTCATTAGTAAAGACCAACTGTGTAATAATTTGATTTTGTTGTGCTGCATATATTTTATTTATTGATTATCTTTATTGATTGTTGTTAAATGTTAGGCAGTATAAGTATTGTGAATTTTGATTTCAGTATAACTGATTCATGGTTCTTATTTAGCAATTAACTTTATAATTTGATTTTAAATGTTTAAACATTACTTAATTGTTATTTGAAATTTTATGCTGTTTAAGTAGTGTTTAAAATGCTGTAGTTGATTTAGCAACATTGCTTTATTATGTACTGGGTCGTGTGAACTTAAGAACTTGCAGGTGAGGAGCATTGGAAATACAGAAAACAGACGATAAGAAGCAACACAATCAAGAAGAGATTTTATTCCGACTACATTGGAAAGAGAGCATTATGTAACGTAGCAATGAGAAAAGAACTGCATATTGGTTCATTATTCAATATAATTTTGATGAAGGTTGGTCCACCTAATAATAGGACAAATGTAAGTATGTATATAAAACAGTATAATTAATGTTAGAGATAAAAAACCATCTGATGCTGTTTTATTGGATGGCATCTTTGCATTAATGCTGTTCTTTTATTCATTTTTATCTAATTAAATAGTTTTTCACACATTCAATTGTGAATGCCCATTCTTATATACACTCATGTCCATAAATTAAGGATAAGGCAAAATCAGGCAAAGAAAGAGTTAGAAAAACAAATTTGACTTATTTGTAAAGCTTATTTATTAAACAAAAAAGGAAAGAGCAAAAAAAGATGCTATATGTTTGGTATTATTAAAAAAATTAGCGATTTTTTCTCCCTGAAACAAATTACAAAAATAAACTATTTACAAAAAAAAAAAAACAATATTACATGGTTGGTATGATTGTTAATACATTGTATGTCTCCCAGACAATGCAATTACAGTCCGTACAACACCTAGGCATGCTGAGTATCAAATTATCGATCTGATCTTGGGGGATATTACACCACTCAAAAAGCAATGCTCTCCGAAGTTCCGGTAGACATGTAGGTTGACGGGCTGCAACTCATCGGCCAAGCATGTCCCACACGTGCTCTACTGGATTCAAGTCCAGTGAGAATGCTGACTAGTCCATACGGGTGATATCCTCCGATTGAAGGCATTTGCTTACGATGTTTGCACGGTGAGGACGGGCATTGTCATCCATAAACACAAATTGTGCACCCGTGGCACCCTGAAACAAACGTACATGTTGTTCCAGAAATGACGCCCCGATAGATTTGGCTTGTCATGGTTCCAATTTGAACATGCAGGTCAGTTCTGGAACCCAGAATAATTCCACCCCAAATTAGCACTCCTGCACCACCGTAATGGTGTCGTTCAATGATGTTTTCTTGGTGGTAACAAGTACCTGGAGCTCTCCATATGAAAGTCCGATGAGAATCAGACTGCAAGCTAAATCTGGACTCGACGGAAAACATCACACAATCCCACTGTTGCGGTGTCCACAATGCATGCTCTCTACTCCAGGCTAACCGCAGGCGACAGTGTGTTGCAGTAAGTGAAACACATCTGACAGGTCTACGAGCATATAGACCAATCTGCCCTAAGCGTCTGTACACGGTCTGCCTTGAAATTGTCATACCAGTGGCTGAAGAGAGCTGACGAGACAAGTCTGAGGCTGTGCTCCGCCTGTTTCTTTTGGCAGTAGCTGTCAAATACAGGTCCTCATTCGGTGTAGCACAGGGGCGACCTGTGCTGTAACGTCTACTCACATTACCATCATCTTGGAATCGCTGCCAAAGGCTGGAGATGACACTCTGGGCAATTCCAAGTTCGTCTGATACTTCCAGTTGGGTACGCCCACATTCCAGACGGCCGATAATTCTACCACGTAAAAATCATCCAAATGCGTCCTTTGTGTCATAACTATTTGGTTATTGCACTGAAATGCTTATAAAGTGCCTGCGAACAATTTTACTTCTTTGCCTGTATTCCTTATATATCACTCTCTTACACTCTCGTCATTGTGACGTACCATTGGTGTCATCTGGTTACTTCCTGAAATTTGCATATGATTCTTGGAGATGTGTGTAGTGATTTTACAGGTGATATATTTATTTTAGAGTTTGATTTCCGCGTGACTCCGAATTATCCTTAATTTATGGACATGAATGTAATTAAATATTAAATTCTCTTTAAATTAAAAGTATAATTCTTTTATAACTATGCATAATAATTACGAGTAAGATACCCTTGAGATTGATTTTTTTTACTCTATTAAGACCTATGATTGAAGAAGATCGAACAAAAAGGTCAATTCAGAATCATAGATTAGAATTTGTCTAAGATAGGTAAATGAGGAAACCGTAATTATGAGAAGTACTAGAAATATCAAGAAATAGGCATATAACATCAGAAGATTCCTAAGAATTTTGCTCTACTGCAAATAATAAATAAATTCCAGCACATAACACATAAACTGTACTTTTATATATTATTTGCTGAAATCTTTCACAAATTTTAACAAGTTCAGGTAACCAGTTATTTGGATTATGGAGGCTCCATGGGACTTTTAATTAAACCATATTCAAAATAATAGTCTATATACCATTCCTTTAATGCATATCATTCTTCAAAACCTCTCTTTTTTTTAAAGTACACCTATTTCTAGATCAGCCATGTTTTCCAAATTATCTGGGTATTAATTAGAAAGGGCAATCAGCAGTTTAGTGTAATTTATTACACTTTGTACAAGGAAACTTAACTTATATTAGGAGCAATTATCAGAACACTAATTATACGAAAACTGGCAATCCAAAGAAAAAAATTACCTTTTGTATAATACTGAGCACATAAATGAATGCTTATACTAGAATGAAGACCAGAGATTGCTCGATAAAAAGCTCTTTTCTCCAGGCACATTGCTGTAAAATTTTCACATGTAACAAAATTATACAATACAAAGACTTTCATACTAAACTAAAATATCAACTGTATAAAACTGTAACTTTTAAAAAATGTAATAATGGTAAAATGCATTCATATATACTACTATATTTCAGATTAGAGTAATTTCAAAATGAATAATTCAAACAAAAATGAAAACAGTATTACTGAATAGATCATAATTACAAAAGAAGCAGTGTCAGACCTACATTAATCTTGAAGATACCAGTAATAATTTTCATAGCTTTCAAAACATGGTTAGTTAACCACAGCCAAACACTAGGGCTATCTATTTAAGATAAAATATGCATTTATAGAAGATTCTTTTAACGTACACTGCACACAAACAAAAAGGAACAAATCTATATCTCCCATTCTACTGGACTGATTATCAAAATTTAACTTGCATTTTCCATGTCTTGAAAGTGTGACTTAGGACATATATTAGATTTACATATAGCATTGTACTAATAAAAGATTTTAACACAAAATCTGACTTTTTCTGAAATAACATACCAATTTTTCAAAAAAAAGGAAATTAAGAAGTTCAAGTGAATTATTCTTGGCGCAACTGAAAAATGTGCCCCCAAGATAAATTTTTAAATTTCACCATAAATTTTGCACCAAATTTTAGAAAATTCAATATTTAGTCATAATCTGAGTCGTAGAATCGAAATGTGGAAAAAAATTAGCATGTCTTTTCAGAAAAAGTCCTATTTTGTGCCAAAATACCCATGGTAGAATGATTCTACATATAAACCTAATATACATGCTAAGTCGCGCTTTTGAGACATGAAAAATGCATTTGAATTTCGTCAATCAGCCCAGTAGAATGGGGGATATACAACTGTCCCCCCTTTTTTTTATGCGGTGTACATATGCCCATATTTACATTAGGCATGAGGAAAAGTATGAAGAACTTCAAGCAGCTAACACATATAACTGCCAGAAATAATACCCGAAACAGGCCATCACTGTATCGTGACTTTAGCCATTCAGCCATAATCGTTCAAAATAGGAAGCAACACATTTTGTTGGAAAATTATATAGATATTTTGGAGTCTTCAGACAAAATAATTCTAAAATATAAGCTGAATATTTATTATTGACAGCAAAACACACTATACACTAGCTAACCCAACAGAGCAGAAGCTTCTGACTCATACTACATATGGTCACAAAATTCTACAGCCATTTAGCCATTTTGCCATTTAGCTAGCAAGAACGTAATCCAGAATATGTCAGTAAATTTTGTTTACTGCCTAAAACTTGGTGAAATATTGATGAATACTAAAATGGTATTTTTAAAGACTAAAAGGCAATTTAAAAAATACAAAATGACTTTTCCAATCACATATATTTACATGCTTTAAAATTCAGTAAGTTTTGTTTAAATACAATTTTAGTGATTATAAGCATATTTACAGATAACAAATACATTATTAATTTAATGTTGTAAACATACTTTTAAAATAGCATTGATTCAAAAAACTAATACTTTTTAGTCAATAATTCTTTATATTTATAATAAATAACTGAATCTTAAAGATTATATTTAGAAAAAGATCATGATTTTGAATTTTTCATAATTGAAAAAACATCTATAGTTACCGTGCAAGTTTTTTGATGTAGTATATGGCCCATAGCCTGAACCAAACCTAAAAGTAAGCATTGCAAAATATATATATGAAAAAGAAGGCAGAAATTACAGGAGCACATATATAGTATGTTATAAATTGAACTATATTAGATAATTAAAAGACAGGGGTACAATAAAGATTGGAATCATAAAATTACAGGAGCACATATATAGTATGTTATAAATTGAACTATATTAGATAATTAAAAGACAGGGATACAATAAAGATTTGAATCATAAAATTACAGGAGCGCATATATAGTATGTTATAAATTGAACTATATTAGATAATTAAAAGACAGGGGTACAATAAAGATTTGAATCATAAAATTACAGGAATACATATATAGTATGTTATAAATTGAACTATATTAGATAATTAAAAGACAGGGATACAATAAAGATTTGAATCATAAAATTCCCCCGACTGCAATAATGAACACTTTCAAAAACTATAACAAGAATGATAAAACTGCTAATTTCAAACTCTGATTTATATGTATATGAAATTTTGGAAACGACCAACTTTCAATAAATTCCATTAGGTTACACAAAAAAATATGTACAATTAGATTTTAAAAAAAAAAAACTTATCAAATGCTCATATTTAATTTTATTCATCTCACTATGAGTGAAACTAATTATTTAACAATTAGATCAGCATTTGAAACACCGCTGAAATGATCTAATTTTTAACACACTAATATGCAGATTAAAAATTTATTTAATAACAGGCAATTTACTCACTATGCACATTTCGTTTAGATGACACATTACACATCTAAATCTTACATACAAATCTTACTTACAGTAACTATACTTGCAGTAAACCTAAGCTGAGAACAGTATATAGAGTAGAAAGCATGTATGTCTGCCAAAGATTACAGTTTTATCATTTCTAACAGTTACAGTTATAAAAAATGATAAAATATGAATAGCATTAAGAAAAGGAAACTGAACAGAAAAGGGATCTTAGAGAAAGAATACCTCATACCTAAATTTTTATTAAAAAATGGAACACTATACATGTCTCATTTGACAATAAATAGGAACAGATTCATTCCATTTTGGCATACATGAAGAAACTGCAAATTTTAACAATCCAACTTTACCTCTATTAAAAAAGTTATAAAATACTCAGTTATCCCTGACTGTGGACAGCAATTATCACACGGCATTCTGTTCAATTAGGATTTGCCAACAGCCAAATTTTCATGTCCCTAAAGACCAACAAGATGTTTTCGTCCATCATATGTTCAACATGCATATTTAGTTTATGTTTGTTAAAAATATCATTATAAAGGTCCTTATTTAGTTACTTAAGTCTCAAATCTGATACTGAAGATATAGCCACACATAACAGTGCCTCAGATTCTTCCAAATAATGAAAAAAGAAATCAAATTAACATGCAACAGCTCTACCAGAAAAAAAAAATCAGTTTTATCGTTTCGAATAGATTTCTAATAACATTTTATTTATATATTACTTGCCCATTTTGAGTGACTTTTTGTGTGTTTTCTTTGTTATCATGTATACCTCTTTTAATCAAAAATGAGCTCAAATTTATCTCCAGAACAATCCGTATACAGTCAAAAGTCGTTAATTCGGACACCCATAATCCGGACCTCAAAGCTAACTTCCTTCGCATACGTGACGCATGCGCATAGCCGTTTACGGGTGCACGTAAGACCTTTACGGCTGCGAATATGCGTGTGCGCATGCACATAATATGTTTACGCATGCACGTTTAATGTATAACGGACGGTATAAGCTAAACTAAAATTATCTAATTCAGTTAATGTTGCAGATTGTGTTGTTCCTTAATCTTCGAATTGGATCTAGCTTATTTTTTGCAGACTGTTAGAGCAATTTTATAAAAGTAAGCTTGAACTTTCGATAATGTCAAATAGAATTTCCGATATATATTTACTAATATGTAAAGGATCTACAAAGCAAAAGTATCTTTCGAAGTCCATTAAACCGAAAGTGGAATTGCTGCAAAAAATGGATAAAGGCATATCCTTTGATTATCTAATCATTCCGAAATATGTTTATCAATTTCACGCTGCTCTGCGGGGGGGGGGGATGATGCTGCACGCAGTGAATTGGAAGTTGATCTGTCAGCACTATCCTTATCTTCAGGGCAGATGTTTTTATTTTATTTGGCTTATAATTCCTTACTAAATGTAGTATTTCATCTCGATGTACTCCGTCTTTGATATGATTTAAATCAAATTCCTAGTCATTATAATTCGCTTCCGATAGTGAAGAAAGTGACACAGAGGTTATTGAAAACGAAAAAATTTTGATTGACAAATTAGTCGGTATTCTCGACACAGCAATTATAGGACTTGAATAGTGGAACTTTGTAACTAAACAAGAAATTATGTCTGTTTAATAGAATTAAAGAGAAAGTATTATCACGTGAAACAAAGCAACTTAAACAACTTACATTGAAAGAAATGTTTAATAAAGTAAACAAATAAATATTAAGCTTTTTCTTTCCATATTTTTAATTTTATAATTTCTGCATGCCATCTTACCAGATTCAAACTGATGATCTATAAGCCAGAAAAAACGATAATCTGGAATCGCCGAAGTCCCGACGAGTCAGGATTAACGACTTTTGACTGTATTCCCCTTCATACTGCAAAAATTGAACTTCATAATTTGATCTGTAGAAACTATAATTACAGGAACCAGATGGTGCTATGTGTCTGACTTCCTTCTGAGTTGCTTTTATTGCCATGGAAACTGTGAAGAATGTTGAAATGTTGAATGGTAAATTTTCGTAAATGCAAACTATAAATAACTGGGTGTATTTTTTTTTTTTTTTTTTGTCTCGTATTGTTTGTGCTATAAATAAAAATTGGATGAAATATCATAGACTGAATTCTAAAGCGAAACAAATTTAGTTGCAATTCTAAGTTACATCATGCTCTTTTTCTCTTTTTTTTATCTTTAATCATGCTTCAGTACTGTTAGTCTTGACTTAAGTCTTGACTTAAAGCAAAAACTTCAAATAAGATGTTTTTATTAAATGATCAAAATTTAGATTTGCTGCCTTTTTAAGTAATAATTAATCATTACACAAAATATTTATAAAAGAATTTATTGTTCTGATTGAATTTTAAATAATAATTCAGCTTTTGATATTGCGAATTGATCAATGTTTATAAAATGAACTGCCAGAATACTTAGCATTTTGCTTTGTAACATAGTGAATAGAGAAAATGAAGATTTTTTGTCTCAGAATTAAACAACAGTTTTATCATATACCTAGCCAAAAAAAAAAAAAAAAAAAAAAAAAAAAAAGTACATAAGGTAAAAAGAAAAATCTGAAACGCTTCAGATTTTAAATTATGTACAAAGGGGCATTTTTTTTCACAATTTGTGTGTTACCTTTATTTATTAAATATCATGTTCTTCATACTTAAACCATGAAATTCAGTTCAAGAGCAATATCGCAAAATAATTTTAAACTGAGCACATCTTTAGAATTTCCAATATACAGTCTCACGCGCTGGAGATAGAAAGGTTTTTCTGTACGACGTTGCCATTGCTCGCTTTGAAATCCTTGAGTTTGTTAATCAAAAATTCATTAAAGTTTTACAAAATATGAAATTGATTATAAAACAAATTCCAAATTTCGGCTACCAAATGCCCATACTCACAGGATTACGTCACTGAAAATTTGATGGCTCTAAGTACCAATGTTTCATCACAATGCAAGAAACATATATACATTTACGCAGATTCTTCATTATTTAATTTCTTCAAATATAATACAGGGCGATAATACTTGGTGGCAACAGTTTAAAAAGTGAAATGGACATTCCAAGTGATTTGCCACAAAATCACAAAATGAAAACAATAGGACTAAAAAAATACTGCTGATTAAACATGCAAAGTTCAGTAAATTTTTACCAAATACATAAGGACATTGATATTCATGTTACAATTCTGTTGTTGTGCCCTTGTATGTGCTGTCAGGTTGGCTCCATGCAGGAAACAAACATTTTTTTCTGCATCGAGCTAACCTGATAAATAACGAAATAAATGCCCGAATTAAAAATTTTGCACATTACTACAAATGATATTTAGTATTTATAACCTAATCATGCAATTCATCCTCCCGTGCTGCTGAAACCAGGTTGCCATGAAGCATTTTATTTCCCCAAAATTTTATTGCAAGGTATGATGATATTTTTTAATCTACAAGATTGCTAGATCACCTTCCTGTGGAACATTTGAAAAGATGATGTAGATTAACAAACAGAAAAACAAAAATATGATGTGTACACCACATGACGTCCTTGTATAGTTTTTTAAATTACACACTTTTTTTGGCTGTATTTCATTTAACCTTATTTTGTTGAATTTCATTAGAGATATATTTCACATTCAATTTATTCAGTTCTCACTTGGTGGTAAAGCAAAAATACATAAAAACTCACAAAATTTTCATTGAAAATTGTGAAATACAGAAAAGCACAAATACCAAATCCAATTAACCCCTTTGCGCCGACTGTCACGTCTACGTGACAGCAACGAACACACTCACTTCCCAGCCGACACGTAGGCATGCTAAAGCGTTTTCCCGTTCTGCCCCGACTGTCACGTATTTGTGCCAGTGTCCTGAAACGTTATAAAAACTATAATTTCTGCCACAAGATGGCACTGTATGTCCATATGGTTTCAGATACATGTACATTAGACCTTCTACTCGAAATGAGAGAAGCATGACTCACATACACGTGTTTTTGATTATATAAACAAAAGGGGAAATAAATGTTTCCGAACGGCGTGATTTACGACGTCTCTTTAAATTCGCATGTGGTAGTTGTTTATTGTAAGTAGAGAAGTTTTATTTTCACTAAAGCGTTGGGTATTTCGGTTTGCAGTTCAGTTTTTAGAAAATAATTAGATCTTGTTAGACGTGAATTCTTTCTGTTTTTACCGTTGCAATGTTGAAGCGTCGAAAATGTTTAACAGAGCATGAAATAGCAGAAATGATG